CACCCAGGCGCCCTTCCATATATACTTTTATCTTATTATGTGGTTTATATATTTTCTTACTATATCAAAATTTTTACTAATCAAAATTGTCAAGTCCATTTTTTTTCCCCTACGGTTTTATCTTTACTGATTAGGCTTTTTAAAGTAATAATATTTTAATGACTTCCTGACAGGAATTAAACGACTGAAAAAACAACCATGACAGGGCGCCTGGGTGGCTCAGTCGGTTAAGCGTCTGCCTTGGGCTCAGGTCATGATCCTGGAGTCCCGGGATCGAGTCCCGCATCGGGCTCCCTGCTCCGAGGGGAGCCTGCTTCTCTCTCTCCTGCTCCCCCTGCTTGTGTTTCCTCTCTCGCTGTGTCTCTCTCTGTCAAATAAATAAAATCTTTTAAAAAAATAAAGCTTATAAAATTATACATAGACAGAACCGAACAAATCATAAAGCACAACAAATTCCTCAAACTGAAGTACTTGTGTTGTCAAGCACACAGATCAACAAACAAAATTACTGACAGCCGGATGTACCCCTCCCCCACATCATGCCCTCTGCACCCTTTGGTCACTATAACCTCCAATGCCAGGGATAACCACTATCATACTTTTTCATAGCATAGATCCACTTTGCTTGTTTTTGAACTTTCTATAACCGGAATGTGTATCTATATATTTATATATATAATATATATGTATATATATAATTGGAATAATTGGTATGTATTCTTTTGTGTCTTATTCAGTATATTTGATGAGATTCATCATGTTGCTCTGCATACTTGTAGTTCATTCTCTTTGCTGTATTAAAATACTGTTATAAAACTCATCCATAATTTATCAATTCAATAGTTGATAAAAATTTGGGCTGTTGCCAGTTTGGGGTGATTACAGTTTGCTATGAATATTCTCATACATGTATTTTAGTGCATGCATTTGTTTCAAAATATTCACACAATGGTACATCCATCACAATTTCAGAATATTTTTCATGACTCCAAAAAGAAACCCCACACTCCTTAGCGGTCACCCCCAGCCTCCCATCCTCTCAGCCCTAGTCAACCACTAATCTGTCGCCATAGATTTGCCTTTGACATTTCACATAAATGAAATGCACAATATGTGGCTTTTTGTCTGGCTTCTTTTACCTACAATAATGTTTTGAAGATTCATCTGATTTTGATTCAGCAAAGAAACCATCATGGCTCAAACTGTACACATGGGACGGGACATAGGTTGCAGGCTTGTTCCTATTTATTCACTTCCCTTAAAAAAAAAAACATTGCTAACTGCTCACTTACCTGACGATACATTTATAGTTAACTTTTACAGTTAACGTATTTTCATGGATATACTAGGAAGCCTCACTACTCTGAATCAATTTGTGAGAGCAACTGAGGTTTCTCTTTGTTGAAGATAAAGTAATAAACCCCTCCAACATTTCCCAGGTCAAAATTATTTTGGTCATGCTTTATGATAAACTTGGGAGTTCTGAGTTCATTTGTTGGAACAGATTCAAATAATTTCCCGAGATGGGACAAAACTAAGGTACCCATACAGCTGACCTCTATGTAGAGGCGCAGGGCCTTCCCTTCAGTTGAAAACACAGAGACACAGGGGAGATGTGAAAACCCACGTGCAGGGAGAGGCAGACTGTGGAGTTACGTATCTACAAGCCAAAGAACTCCAAGGAGAGACACAGATTGCCCCTTGGAACTTCCAGAGAAAACCAACCCTGCACTTGATTTTAGACTTCTGGCCTTCAGAATAGTGAGAGAGTTTGTTCTAAGCCACCAAATTCGTGGTAATTTGTTTCAGGAGCCCTAGGAAACGGACACACTAGCTACCTAACTCCTGACTCCAAAGCGGCCTGGCGTAAACTGGGGCTCTAAAGAAGCTTGTGGAGCATAGCCTCGGGGGCTGTGAACGCGCTTTAGGAAAGACCACAATCTCTCATTTCGGAGGGAAAAGAAATTGAACTTTTTTTTTTTTTTTTTTTTTAAAGTAAGCTCTGTGCCTAACGCGGGGCTTGAACTCACTACCTACCCTGAGATCAAGACTCACATGCTCTACCCACTGAGCCAGGCAGGTATCCTATCACTTTTTCCTTTCTGACTTGTTTCCCCAACTAAAGTCTAGTAGCTTGGATTAGAAAGATAGTCCAAATTTCTTTTAGAAATTCTGGAATTAAGAGTAAATGCAATCTATTTTCCTCCTTACTGATATCAAAACCAGGGAAGTCTAGGAGCCTGAATCGCCAGATAGCATTCATTTTTTTCTTGGGAACGTTGGCCTTATTTTGGTACAAGGGTCAAGGTTATTTTCCTCTGATTTAGCTTAAGCCCAGTATTAACATGTCCAAAAGCAGAAGGGGAGAAAAAGAACCAACTAGAACACGTGGATACCATATGCCTGCTCCATCAACAGAAATGTCAATTTTCACTAGGATTAAGTTTACATACTCAGAAGCATATCTTACCTTGTTTGTAGAACCCTTCTTTATTACAAATGGTAACTACCAGTAAGGTTGGATAATATAAAAATTCTTATTCAAATGAAAGGACTGAGGTAATGGGAAGAGAGAGGCCATCATATTGCAGCTCTCTCAGTTTACTATTATGGAGAGGCTGTGGGGAAGGGACTCCCTGAAAAGGTTAAAAAAGCAGCTTGTGAACACCTTTACTGGACACATTGATGGGTACTGGCAGACGCCGGGTGTTGGCTACAGGTGTTATTAACCAGCCACTATACTGTTTCCATGTGTAGACCAAGAATGAGATATTTGAAGGGAAAGTGGGTTCCTTTTTACTTAACAATTCGCTTCCCTTCATTTCCTCTATAGTGGGAAACATCCATACTGATTCTACGGCACATTTTCGGACTTCAGACTGTAAGGTGACCTTCAATTTCCCTGGGTGTCACTATGTTTATTTTTCTTTCTTCAGTTTTTCTTATTCCTGTATTTCCCGTTTGCCATTTTGGGAGGCAGAGAGAGCCACATGAAAGACGTTAAGAGCATATTCATTGTAGGGCAACCTCAATAGGAATCTACCCCATCATCTCAGTGTGGGCTAGAAGTTTCCTCCTCCCAATCCTTCTGAATGCCCAATTCTCTGATTGGCAAATGATCTTTCAAATTGCCATGAATCCTGAAGGTGCCCAGTGAATATCTGATTAGGGAATGTACTGAGAAGAAACTTTGTTCTTGAATGTTATCGAGGCCAGCTATACATGATGTTCACAACTAAGTCTGCTTATGCACTGATTATTTATGTACTGAATATAGCAAAAGTTACATTCAACTACACAAAGAGTAAAACACTGCTAACCACACTATAGTTTATTAAGGCATGCAATGGTAGAACGTTAAGTCTTGAGGGTATCAGGAGTAATGTTTCATTCTTTGGAAACCAGATAACCTAGCATTATCCCAGTCTAGACCCATCCCGTCCAACATAATGGCCACCATCCACAGGTAACTACTTGAGCATTTAAGATGTGGGTAGTCCAAATTGAGATGTACTATAAATTTGCACACTGGATTTCAAAGACTTGGTATGAGAAAACATAAAACATCTCATTAATTTTTATACGAATCACATGCTGAAATATTTTGGGTAGGTTAGGTAGAATATATTAAAAATATTTCCAATGTTTCGGAGCGCCTGGGTAGCTCAGTCGTTAAGCGTCTGCCTTCGGCTCAGGTCATGATCCCAGGGTCCTGGGATCAAGCCCCGCATTGGGCTCCCTGCTCTACGGGAAGCCTGCTTCTCCCTCTCCCACTCCCCCTGCTTGTGTTCCCTCTCTCGCTGTGTCTCTGTCAAATAAATAAAATCTTAAAAAAAAAAAAATTTCCACTGTTTCGTTTTACTTTTTAATGTGGCTACTAAAAAATCTTTAATTACAACTGTGGCTCATTTCACTTCTGACAGCAGTCTATATTAGTTCAGTAATCTGAAACATACAAGAGACCTGAAACACTTGTAGCAATGTGATCACAAACATTCACAAGAATTTTTTCCTTTGGTACAAATCAGGTTTTGTGATAGATTAATAAAAGTAGCAGGGCGCCTGGGTGGCTCAGATGGTTAAGCCTCTGCCTTCCAGCTCAGGTCATGATTCCAGGGTCCTGGAATCGAGCCCCACATCGGGCTCCTGGCTCAGCGGGGAGCCTGTTTCTCCCTCTCCCTCTGCCTCTCCCCCTGCTCATGCTCTGTGGATATCTGTCTCAAATGAATAAAATCTTTAAAAAAAAAAAACAACAACAGTAGCCAGTGAGCTTTAACTGGCACATTTGACACACCCAAGGTTTAGTAGATGACTTAAGAATTTAACAAGGAGGGCGCCTGGGTGGCTCAGTTGGTTAAGCGACTGCCTCCGGCTCAGGTCATGATCCTGAAGTCCCAGGATCGAGTCCCATGTCGGGCTCCCTGCTTGGTGGGGAGTCTGCTTCTCCCTCTGACCCTTTCCCCTCTCATGTTCTCTCTCACTCTCTCTCTCTCCATTAAATAAATAAAATCTTTAAAAAAAAAAAAAGAATTTAACAAGGAAAAGATTTGTAAAAGGGGGAAATAAATGGGCAAAGATGAAGTCCTGGTTAGAGTCTACACTGCACATCGTATCTAAGGGCCTCTGTTGCTCACAGAAAATCTGCTGAATCCAGAGGCTTTCTAGGACAGCTGTTTTCCAGCTAGTGACTCAGAACCCAGGGCTGCCATCACCAAGGCAGAGGAAAAGAGAGCTGGCTTGTAAGTGCTGCCACAGGGCCTGTGCTATAGGCCTTTGGTCTTTGGATTAGGGCAAAAATTACTGAGATATTTTATGTTTCCTCATACCAGGTCTTTGAAACCCAGTGTCTAAATGTACAGTACATCTCAGTTTGGACTGTCCACATTTCAAGTGCTTAAATAGCTGCACGGGCCTCCCTGCCTTACTGCAGGTAGGGAGTCAAGAGAGCGTACAGCCGTTCAGACAGACAAGTTGTGGGTTTCTGGAGGCATTCAAAGTCCAACACAAGCATTCTTTCCAATATGCTGGAAAAATGAGAGCAACAATCAGGACTTGGTCACTTTATTGAATGTTTCTAACAGTTAGGTACTGGAGCCAGTCAGAGGGCGTCCTCCTCACAGGCCCTGAAAGAGGGAGGACGAGTACAATCTCTTCTTCAGCCTCCACTTTGTTTCTAACTTTCCTTCTCAAGTACCACAGTCAGCAGATACATAGAAGTAGATGACTTTTATTCCTTTTTGGTCAAAGGAAAGGGATTATACAAATGTGTATGGAAAATGACAAACAGAGGCTCCTCCTATCATGTTGACAATAAGTTGGACGTAAGCTGTAGCTAATGGGGACAAATTTGCCCAGTTATCTATTGTCATCTTTTTTCCTGCATCTTATGGTTAACATATATAGAAAGGAATCTAGTTACCTACTATGTGGCCCTACTGTTCAATAAGCTTATGCCACATGTGTAGGCTACATTCAGCTATCTTCTTGGCTTTTTAATGGATATAATTCTGTTCCATAAGTTATGCTAGTTGTTTTCATGCTTCTAAGATGTTTACACAAATGTGGAAAAAATCTGAATTATAGTCTAAAAATTAAATCTAGCCACAGGTGGGGCGCCTGGGTGGCTCAGTCGTTAAGCATCTGCCTTCGGCTCAGGTCATGATCCCAGGACTCTGGGATCGAGCCCCGCGTCAGGCTCCCTGCTCTGCAGGAAGCCTGCTTCTCCCTCTCCCACTCCCCCTGCTTGTGCTCCCTCTCTCACTGTCTCTCTGTCAAATAAATAAA